GCTTAAGCACTCTGAGTAGAGTCATCTCTGTAAAATAAAAAAAGAAAAAGAAAAAAAAATGAAGCAAAGAGCTTCACCATGATTTGATGAGGGTCATATGGCTGGTTTGTGACATTCAGAAATAGCCTGGTAAACTCAGTACACCAGACAGTCTTCCCACTCAATTGAAAATCATTTATACTCAAATTTAAGCATAATACCTTGCCTTGGTCTCAGTGCCACAGTAGTCATTTTATTGTTTCTGGCAGAGAAGAGAGGAAAAAATGAAAACTAATATACTGGTTGAATGTTAAATCTCTTTAACAGACTAAGCTTTAAAAAAATCATTTTTCCTCCAATTCTTTCCTTTTGTGCCCCAGATTTGGTCCTACTTGAAGAACATATGAAAAATTATTAGTTCATCTTTTCCTGGGATAACAATCCCTCCTATAGTGGGAAGAGCCCTGCAAAAGGAATCAGGAGACCCAGGCTCCTAGCTGGGCCAGTAACTAGTTGTGTTACTTTCAGCAAGTTGTTTCATGACTCTAGATTTCAGTTTTCCTATCTGTAAAAATAAGGTTGGAGGAAAAAGTTTCTAAGGTCATTTTAGTCACAATTTTCCTTGATGCTATAATCAATACAAGAAAACACACACTGTGAATGTGGATATGAAGAAAATAGGAAGTAACAAGGCTAACTGTTTGGTCAGGGTAGAAGGCAGAGCACAAAGAAAATTCCAAAGATACATGAAGGGTAAAGTATTTGACAGTGTTAGCAATTTAAGAATGGAATTAGATATCATTTAATACAGGTCAGTCATTTTACAGAGAACCTGAATATTTGGATTAGAATGTCATTTTCCACTTCTAGCCTGTCCTTTCTTTTATAGGTGGATTCAGTTACCAATAAAAAGGAATACAGAATGGCGTAGCTCAGGCTACAGTAACAAAATATCATAGACTAGGGGGCTTAACCAACACTTACTCCTCACAGTTCTAGATGTTGGAGGAAAAAGGTTGGAGGAAAAAGTCTCTAAGTTCTCTAACATCAATCCTAGATTCGAATACAAGTCAGACATCAAAGTGCTCACAGATATGGTGTCTTTTGAGGGCCCTCTACCTAGTCCATAGATGGCTATCTTCTCACTGTATCTTTACATAGCAGAATGGATGAGGAAGTTCTTTGGGGTTTCATTTTTTTATATTAATTCTATTCATCAGGGCTTTATCTCAAAAACTTAATAACCTCCCATAGACTTAACATCAAAAATGTGATCCCAAAGGCAGTTGAGATTTCAAACTAAATTATGGGGGTACACAAATGTGCAGTTTATGGCAAATAGGCTGAAAGCAAGGTTTCTTGACCTGAAGATATATTACATAGGAAGATGGAATCTGATCAATGAAAGACATTAGCTCCATTCATTTACTTAAAGAGGATAAATACCATTACTTTAGCCAGGCACCAATAACATCATTGGTAACATAAGAGAATTTAGTTGAAATGATGAATATTCTATGTGGCTATCCACCTGTACACAAATGTAGCCAAATATATTAATATTTTGCACATCCTTTAGATGGTTTTATTCTCTGTTCCATCAGTGTAAATGAATAAGCTTACCTTTTAGAAGGCAATTCTTTCAGAATTGTGCTTTTCAAATCAGGTGTGCACAGGAATTAATTGTGGAAAGTTGTCAAAATGCACATTTGAGGGTATTAATCATGAGGTTGTCAATCAGTAGGTCTATAATAATGATAATCAATCTATATTTTTAAATATCTCTAGTGATTCTTTTTAAAAAATATTTAGTTTTTACTTGTAGATGAACACACAATATCTTTATTTTGTTTTATATTTTATGTGGTTCTGAGGATTGAACCCAGGGCCTTGCACATGCTAATTGAGCACTCTACCACTGAGCCACAACTCCAGCATCTCTAGTTACTCTAATACAAGTCAGAAATACTTTGAAAAACTCTGAGGTAGAGAGACTAGATCAGGACTCTTTTACCTAGAACTGGCTCATATATGGCTCATTAAAACAAATTATTTCAAGCAAAAGAGTTCCCTTACAGTGAATTTTAACTGCATCAAAAGGTATAAACAATACAAAGGAAATTTAGATATAATGCAATTCCAAAAATAGTATGTATTTGGTAACTGAAAAACCTATATGGGCTCTATATTCAGCACCTTACCATCCCCTTTACAGCACCTTAAAGTTTTGTTCCTTAAGCTTTTTAACATACTCTAATCTACCCCAGTAGCCATTATTTTAATCCCCTTCACATTGCTGACCTTCTCTACTCCTTGATCCCTTAGCTTCCATTACACCATGCTTTTGAGATATAACTCATATCATTTTATCAGTGATTTTTTTCAGCTTCCTTTGTGAACTTTTCTTTCTGTTTCCACTCCTTATTGGATTTTGATCTCTAGGACTCTGTTCCAGGTAACTTTTCTCATTCTAAATACTTTTCTTGGACAAGGTCATTTTTTCCAAGAGTTTTAATTACCATCGCTATGTTAACATCTACTAAGTATCCATCCCAAATTTCTCTTAGGGCCCAAATAGCAGACCATCTACTTTACTTCTATACTTGAATGACTCCCAAGGACCTCTAAATCAGCATATGCAAAACTGAATTTGAAAAATCCAGTAGATCTACTGGAAGATCGAAGCAGGACAAGTAGGGAAAGGAAGGAAGGGCATCAGGATTGGAAAAGAAGTATTAAATACATCTCTGTTTGCATAAGGACAGGATCCAGAAGTGAAAACCCCAAAGACTACACCACTAAAAATTAGTGAAGCTAATAAACAAATTCAGCAAGGTTTCAGAGTATGAAATCAATGCAGATGATCCTCAATTTGTCATATTATCATGTCCCAATAAGCCCATCATAAATTGAAAGTATTGTAAGTTAAGTATGCATTTAATATATGTAACCTATCTAATATAGTTCAGCCAAGCCTACCTTAAATATGCTCAGAACATTTATATAAGCATATAGTTGGACAAGATCATCAAACACAAAGCCCGTTTGATAATAAAGTATTAAATATCTATGTAATTTACTGAATACTTGTATCAAAAAAAAAAAACCTGGCAACACAGTATACTCTCAAGTATTGGTTGTTCAGATCACACAGTTGTCAAGGAGCTGCAGCTTGCTGCTGCTGACCAGCATTGAAAGAGAGTATTTTACTGCATATCACTAGCCTGGGGAAAAAAATCAAAATTTAAACTTTAAAGTATGGTTTCTACTGAACATGTATTGCTTTCAAACCATCATAAAGTTAAAAAATCATAAATCAAGCCAGCATAAGTCAAAGACCACCTGTACACAAGTCCATTTGTATTTCTATACACCAAAAATGAATGATTCAAAATTTAAATTAAGAAAATAATTCTGGAGGCTGGGGTTGTGGCTCAGTGGTAGAACACTTGCCTAGCAGATATAAGGCCCTTGGTTCGATTCTCAGCACCAAATAAAAATAAATAAATAAAACAAAGTTATTTTGTAAAAAAAGATGTAAATTGGAAAATTAATCTAGTATTTTTAAAAAGAAAATAATTATATTTATAACTGTACAAAAGAATAAACACTTAGGGGGTGTTTTAAATGTAATCACAATAATGCACTAGAAACTAGAAAGCATAATTGAAAAAAAATTAAAGACATAAATAAATGCAAAGGCATCCCATATTAAGAAGGTAATATTCCCCAGGTTGATCTACAAATTGAAAGCAATCTCCATCAAAATTCTAACAGCTTTCTTTTTTTTAGAAATTAATAGACTGATCCTAAAATTCTTATGGAAATGCACAGAACTTATAAGAGCCAAAACAACCTTGAAAAAGAATAACATTAAACAACGCATATCTTTTGATTTCCAACAACTATAGTGATCAAGATATTTTGACAGTGAAATAAAGGCGAATTTATAAAAACAATTGAATAAGGAGCCAATAAATAATCTCTTGCATAAATGGTTAAATGATTTTGGCAAGGGTAACCATATTGTTCAATGGTAAAAGATCAGTCTTTTCAATAAATGATGCTTTGAAAGCTAAATATACATATGCAAAAGAATGAATTTGGATTCCCTACCTCATACCATATAAAAAGTAACTCAAAATAGATCAAAGACCTAAAGGCAAAGGCTAAAACTATAAAACTCAGAAAAAATATTGAGATAAATATTCATGAGCTTAAACTTAAAAATAGTCTTAAGTATGATTCCTAAAGCACAGGTAGAGAAAAAAAAATGCTTAAATTGAAATTAATCAAAATCAAAATTTTGTATATAAAGGACATTATCAAGAAAGTGAAAAGGTAACCTATAAAATTGGAGAAAATATTTGCAATTTTTATCTAACAAGGGATTTACTCAAAATATATAAGAAAAAGTCTTAGAATTCCATACTAAGAACAACTTTTAAAATAGACAAAAGATTTGAGTAAACATTAAAAATATATACAAATAGCTAATAAGCTCATGAAAATATTCAATACCATTCGTGATTAAGGAAATGTGAATTAAACCATCCTGGGATACCACTTCACACCCACTAGGATGGCTATGAAAATAAATGAACAATAAGAAGTGTTGTCAAGGATGTAGAGCAATTGGAACCTCTGTGCATTGCTGATGGGAATATAATATGATTCAGTCACTATGGAAAATACTTTGGTCATTCCTCAAAAAGTTAAACACAGTTACCATATGTCCCCGAAATTCCACTCCTAGGTAAACACTCAAGAGAATTTAAAAACATATGTTCACACAAAATCTTGTACTTGAGTGTTCATAGCAGCATTAGTCATAATAACCAAGAAGAATAAGGAAGCCAATGCCAACTTCAGTTGAATGATCAAACAAAATGTAGTATATTCATACAGTGGAATATTGTTTGGTATTAACAAAAAATTAAATAATTTTATATGATAACATATGGATAAACCTTGAAAACATTATGTTAAGTGAAAGAAAGCAAGCATAAAAAATCACATACCATATGATCACATTCACATAAAATGTCCAGACTATGCGAATCCACAGAGACAAAAAGAAGATTAGCGATTGTCAGCAGCTGGAGAAAGAGGAAAGCAGAGATTGATTGGTAATGGATATAAAGTTTCTTTGGGAGGTGATGAAGATGTCCTAGAATTAGATAGCCATGATAGCTGCACAGCTTTATGAATATTCTAAGAACTATTGAATCATACATTTTTAAATGGTGAAATTTGTGGTCTGTGAATTATATATCAATAGCAAATTAAATTTAAAAACAATAGAATTGGGTAAAGGATATTAACAAGAAATTCACAGAAGAAGTATGAACAGTACTGCAATTAAAATGAGACTATTTCTTCAGCCTCTCATAAAAAATATTAAAGATAAACAGTGTTAACTCAGCTGAAAAAGGTACAGCAAAATAAGCATAGCCATACATCATTTAATAACATGAATACATACTGAGAAATGCATCATTAGGCAATTTTGTCTTTATGCTGTGTGAACATCATACAGTGTACTTACACAAACTGTAATTTGGCTTCTTGATGCAGTCAAGAGATGCCATAAGTAGCAGATGTATGAAGCTCTGCTTGTTTAACATAGCATATTATTTTACAGGAAACTTTTTTTATAAGCAGAATGAGTACACTCTAAAATAACAATAGAAGGTATGGTATAGTAAATACATGAACCAGTAACAGTGGTTTATAATGATCATCAAGTATTATGTATTGTTCACAATTCTATGTGCAAAACTTTTATGACTAGCATTGTAAAATGTTTGTTTACAACAGCAAACAAGTGGGTAATGCATTGCACATGTTGTTACAAAGGTTACAAAGTTGCTATATGAACTTTTCAACTCCCTTATAATCTTATGGGACCATTGTCATATATGCTGTCCATATTTGACTGAAACATTGTTATATGGCACATGACTGAACTCTCATACATAGAATAGGTGTGCAACCTCTTGTAGATGATATGGTTACATTTATAAGGTCTCAATATATGCATTTAATGACTCAGAATTCCCCTGGGTAGCAAATTTAAATGTATTCTCCAAAAAAATATGTTAAAGACCTAAACCCCAGTACCTGTGAATGGGACCTTATTTAGAAATAGTGTCTTCGCAGATGTTAGCAAGTTAAAGTGAAATCATACTAGATTAAGGTGTACTCTAAGTCAAATGACTACTGTTCTTAATATATAGAAGATTTGGAGATGAACAGATCCACACTCATGGAGGAAAGCCATGTGAAGATAGAGAACAGAGATTAGAGTGATGACGCCATAAGCCAAGGAATGCTAAGGATCATTAGGGGCCATAGAACTTAGGAAAAAGCAAGAATGGATTCTTTCCTAGAGCCTTAAGAGGTGGCATGACCTTGTCAATACCTTGATTTAGGACTTCTAGCCTCCAGAACTGGGAAACAATAATTTTCTGGGTTTATTTTTGTTGGTGGTGGTGTTAGGCATTGAACCCAAAGGCACTTCACCACTGAGCCATATCCCGAGCCTCCTTTTTTATTGTTTATTTTGAGACAGGACCTCTCTAAATTGCTGAGGCTGGCCTCAAACTTGTGATCTTCCTGCCTCATTCTCCAGAATTGCTGGTATTTCAGGCATGTGCCACAGTGACCAGTGGTTTTTCTGTTGTTTTAAGCCACTGAGTTTGGGTAATTTATGGCAGTTCTGGGAAACTAAAATACCCTTCCTAGACTCTCCATTATAAAAATATTTGTAGAAGTAGGCAATAATATTTATAATGTCTTAGTGAACTCCTTGCACCACTCTAAAATCTCAAAAAAGAAAGATAACCAAAGTATCCATCAATACTTAACTGGTTAAATAAAGTACATCCCATTGTTCATGGAATGTTACTGAGCTATTAAGAATCAATTCTTGGGTTGGAGTTGTGGCTGGGCACTTGCCTAGCATATGTGAGGCACTGGATTCAATCCTCAGCACCACGTAAAAATAAATAAATAAATAAAATAATCAATTCTTATACTAATAAGTAAGGACTTGTGTGCTATATTTCTAGAAGAAATGAGAAAGTGGCAAACAAGTATATAAATGTATCTTAGTCCATTCAGGCTGCTATTACAAAATACCTTAAAATGGATTGTTGGAGTAGCTTTCGGTTTGCAGCTAGCAGCTATGAGCAGCTCACAGTGCTAGGAAAACCTACGCTTGTACAGGCCTGACAGGAACACCTGCAGGTCGGGGAGCTCTGCACTGAGCAGTCAGTGAAACCACATTCTCAGTGCTTGAGGTCAGTGTTGCCAAGCTACAAGGCCAGGAAATACAGAGGTGCTTCAGGGCATGAAAACCCCAACTCAAAAGGCCCCCTCCGTTAGGGACAAAGATCCTTCCAGACTGCTTTCCATCACGTAGCAATATTTAGAGCTTCCTCATAGTGTGGCTACATTAATCATAAGATGATTGGTTTCTAGATGTTGTATAACCTGCTTGCTTATGTATGATTCGAAGATGCATTCTATATCAATTATAATCACTTCCGCATTAAATGAGCTTGCTAGATGTCGACTGTGGTTTATAATCAGCCAGCTTTCTCACTAAGCTTCTGGTGTCTGTGTTGATTTGACAATGTGTCTCTACCCCCCCCCTTGCCCACCCCTGCAACTGAGGTAGCTGAGTGACTATCGACCACACCAGTGACCAGGAACACATATAATGGATTACTTATAAACGGTAGAAATTTATTCCTCATAATTTTGAAGGCTAAGAAGTCCAAGACTAAGGCACTGGCAGATTTTGTGTCTGATGAGAGTCTATTTCCTAATTCATACAAGTGCTCTCACGTGGTAGAGCTGTGAGGGTGTCTCTAGAGCCGTTTCTTTTTTGTTGTTGTTTTTGAAAGGAAAAATGCTTTATTACAGGAATGTATTCCATTTTTTTCAAAACATTTTGCATTTAAGAATGAAATATTTCAAAAATATGTGAATTTCACATTCACAACAGATTTTAGATCACTTAAATGCAGGTTTTAAGTAGAAACATGGAAATCTCATTTTACATATTTATAGAACTCCTGTATGGAACCACTATATTGTCAGTATAATTCACACAAAAATATTAACAATTAAATAAATCCTATATTTGATCATCCACTATTTACACATCAAATTTATGTCCCAATATCATTGCACTATCTTGATTCTTTATCATAAAATCTAGAATTGATATGATGGATTTTTAAAATTAATTTTATTTATTTTAATTAGGTATATGTGACAACAGAATGCATTTTGATTCCTTGTGCACAATTGCAGCACAACTTTTCATTTCAGTGGTTGTACACGATGTAGCATCATACCATATGTTTAGTCATACATATACCTACGGTAATGATGTCCATCTCATTCTACCATCTTTCCTGCCCCCATACACCCTCCCCACCCACCCTCCCCTTTGCTCAATCACAGTTCCTCCATTTTTCCCATGCCTCCTCCCTCCCCAATATGTATCAGCATCCACTTATCAGAGAGAACATTCAGCCTTTGATTTTTTTTAGGATTGGCTTACTTCACTTAGGACTACTATAAGGGCACTAATCTCATTAACAAGTTATACACTCATGTGATTTAATCACCCCAAAGGCCCCACCTCCTATTGCCATCACTTTGAGGGAGTTAGGATTTCAATTTACGAATTTAAGGGGACAAAAATATTCAGGCCTTAGCTGAACCATTTTTATAAAAGTATATACTTTTGAACTATTAAAGAAAATTGTACATACATGCATATATACACATTAAGTGTGTATTTTCTTTAAAATAGAAAATGATACAAAGTAATATGGAACTCTCAACAGTAGTTAATACTAGGAACTTGTAGATGTGGGTAACAATTTGGATTTTTACTTCCTATTCTTGATAGATTATTTATATGTGAAGGTATACTTCTGAATGGAAAATTATAAACATGCCTACCATACTAAAATGCTTTCAGTTGCTCAAGCATTCCACTCTCTTTCATGTTTCAAGCATTTGCCCCTGGTTTTCTTTCTGCCTGGAACACTGTCTTCTTTGTCACATGTGCCATTCACTTGATTTTTGCAACACCTCAGTGTTTTCCTCCTATTTCCCTGGCCACTCCTTTTAAATCTTATTTGCCAGCTCCTCCTCCATCACCTTTTATTACTGGAATTTCTACAATGCAATATGAACAGAAAAAGGATGAATAAAGAGGCCATAGTTAAAGGACTATTGTGACCTTCAATATAATATGAAAAGCCAATGAAGCAATACTGACCAAGTCTTGAGGGAATGAAAGTGACACCCAAGTGCTGAGGATGTGGCTCAGTGGTAGACCACTTGCCTGCCAAGCACAAGGCCTTGGATTCAATGTCCAGCACCACAAAAAAAGAAAAAATAAAAACAAAGAAAGGGAGGGAGGTGGGAGAGAAGGAAGAAAAAAAAGAAGGAAGGAAGGAAAGAAAGAAAGAAAGAAAGAAAGAAAGAAAGAAAGAAAGAAAAAGAGACCCAAGAATTTTATATGCCATTGTTTTGACATTCAACAGACTGGTAGTCTCAAGTATGCAAAAGTTCATGAAATGCAAACTGTAGAAACATAATTTCCTCATATTCATAATAATGGTTTACTATGTGCACTTCCTTAATAAAAGCTAGTAGATAATAATATCTAGACAACCAAAGAATATTAAAGTAAAGATCTTAGGAATAAATAAATGGTGGTGGTGATAAAAAGACTAGTGGTAAGTACTGATTCACTTAAACACAGAAACAAGACCAAGCAACTTACAGAATTCTGGATAGAGAACAGAATGTAAATTATATAAATTATAAGAAGTTAAGAATAATAACACAGCTATGTGTATAGCACAATGGCAAGTATTTTACATATATTAACTCATTTATTCCTCACAACAAGCCAATGAAGTAGGGACTTTATAATCTCCATTTCAGAGATGAACAAACTGAGAAACGCAGAGATTAAATAATTTGCCCACCTTTACAAAGCTAGGGAGTGGCAGAATTGATTTGAACCAAAGCAGGCTATCTTCAGAACCTATGCTCTGAACCAACTATGCAGGAAATCAGTCAACACTATCAAAATTGAAACAAGAAGATAAAAATATAAGGACTGACACCTCTACATATATTTCATTTCTTTGATCTTAAGTTTAAAATAGTCTTTCAAGAGACTATAATTCCTTGAAAGAGAGGAAACATTTATCTGAAGTTTATTGATTCCTTTACTTCCACTTTGATTTATTTTTCTTAGATTCAATTGAAGCATTTTTAAATTTCTATACTTTCATCTGGGTGCAGTGGTGTGTACCTGTAGTTCCAGCTACCCTGGAAGCTAAGGCAGAAGGTAGGAGTAAGGGGCCAGCCTGGACAACATAGCAAGACCCCTTGCTTAAATAAAATAAAAATTTAAGGTCTGAGGATGTGGCTCAATGGTAGAGCATTTGCCTAGAATGTGCAAGGCCCCAGGTCCAATCCCCAGCACTGCCAATATATTTTGCTTTTAAATAGCATGCAAATTATTTCTACTAAAATTTGACTATCCAACTATTAACCCTATATATTAAGAGTGATGCCCAGAATAATGTTCATTAAATAAGCTACAATTTATTAAATATTCACCATTTGCCAGATATGGAAAAATACACTTTAAATGAATTACCTCATTAATTTATCACAACAATCTTATAATAGATACTATTTTAATCCTTCTTTTATTCAGATAATGAAACTAAGGCATAATAATGGTTATTCCTGGTTTGTGGAGATATAGATTTTCCCCTTATTTGTATTTTCTCACATTTTTTATTATTTTATAATGAGTATAATAAAAATATAAAAGCTATTTTAAAAATGTGTTTTTAAGTAAATAACTGTGAAGATTCTCTAGGGTTCAGTCTTGAACACTTGCTATTCTGAACACTCTTCCTAAACCATGTTATCAACTTCTATAGCTTTCCCAAAGGCAAATGGCTTCCAAATCTATATTTCAGCTCCAGGACTGTTTTTTCTGAGCTCCAGACATATATTCCCACTGAAAACTACTCATATGCTCTTGGATGCTTCATAGACAATCCAAATTCAAAATGTCCAAATCCATACTCATCACTTACCCATACTAGTCCTCCTCAGTGCTTCCTAATCACGATGAATGGTGCCACTCTCCACCTGAATGCACAAACCAAATATCTATGAGTCATTTCTTATTCTTCTCTTTTTCCTGCCCTCTATATCCTATCCATCACCTAAAATACACTACCTCTAAAATATATTCCAAATCTGTCCACTTCTCTACATCTCTGCTACCAGTCCCCTAGTCTGAGCCACAATTATCTCTTTCAATTACCTCCTAACTGGTCAACCTTTTAAGATTCCTGATCCTGGGCTGGGGTTGTGGCTCAGTGATACAGCGAATGCCTAGCATGTGTGAGGCACTGGATTCGATTCTCAGCACCACATATGAATGGATGAATAAAATAAAGGTCTATCAACAACTAAAAATTTTTTTAAAAAAAGATTCCTGATCCTTTACAATTCATTCTTCTCACAGCAGCCAAAAAGATGTTAATAAATATAATAGGAATTCTCCTTGAGTCTTTCAATGAATTCCCATTGTTCTTAGAATTAACTTCAAATCCTTGCCATAGCCCTTAAGGAAGAAACTAGATGTGTCTTTCCCTATATGTTTCCGCCTTCTATAGCAAAACCAGGATATTATTAGGAGTAGTGCTGAGGATCAAACCCAGGGCCCCACACGGGCTAGAAGAGCACTCTACCGCTAAGCCCCAGCCCCAGCCCCAGTGGCTTGGATTTTATAGACAATAAATATACATTGAAGGATTTAGGCAGAGGAGAGACTATCCTCATATTTACGTCTCAGAAAAAAACACTGTGGAGGCAATGGACTAGAAATAAGGTAAATAAAATTCTATTACAACAATAAAAGTAGCTATAGACCCTTGAATAAGGCAGTAGAGATTGAAGATGGAGAGAAAAGTATTGTGGTGATAATTTAGAGGCAGAATTGAGTGAACTTAATGGGCAATTAGGCATGAGGATGAATAAGAGTGGAAGAAATCAAGGATCTTTCAGAAATTTCTGTTCTAAAGATTGACCATTATGATATTTAGTGAAGAGGTAATATAAAAGAGTATTTTTCCCATAATTCCCATATTGGGATTCCAATACAGGAAGGGGGTATAATTAATTCAATTGGGAACAAATAATATTTGATAAATATTTCATATGATCAACTAATATATCTAGCAAGTTAAGTGGACACATGAATCTGCAGCCTCAGGAAAGGAGCCTGGGTGAGATATATGGAATTGAGACTCTTCAGAGAGGATGGTAACCTAAACTAAGGTTCTAGAAATGAGCATACAGAGGATATAATGGCTAACAAGTTTGAATGGATAGGACCTGGTGACTGATTGGATAAAAATATTGTGATAGAGGAAAATCTACGACAACCCTCAGATTTCTGATTTGAAGATTGTGTGATTGTTCCGCTGTTAAGGGATGAATCATATTTTTTTTTCAAAATTCATATACTGAAGTCTTACCCCCAATTATCTCAGAATTTGACTGTATTTGGAAATAGGGCCTTCAAAGTGGTAATGAAAATAAAATGAGGTTATGTAAATGATCACTTACCAAATATGACTAGTATACTTATAAGAAGAGATCAGGATATAAACTCATATGGAGGGAAAAAGTTATGTAAACATGAAGACAGCCATCCACAAGCCAAGGAGAGAGTCCTCAAAAGAAACTAACCTAGCTGACATATTGATCCTGGACTTCTATCCTCTAGAGCCATCAGAGTATAAGTTCCTCTTACTTAAGCCACTGAATCAGTGATACTCTGCTATGGCAGCCACAGAAAAATAAGATAGCCACCAACCAGTATTGGAATTATGGGAAAGAAAGTAGGCTGGGGCAAGGAAGTTTTGGAAGAGGAGTTTGATATAGAAAATTTCGAGTTTGAGGTTCTTGAGGTACATCCAGGTAGAGATGTTCAAATGATTTTGAAATGGAAAGACAGAACTGGGTTTGGGTACAGATTTGGATATCATTGATATATAAGTGATATTTTAAACTGTATGAGTGGATGAGATCATCTAAGAAGTATATGTAAACTGAGAAGAAGGACAGAACTATAATAAATGTGGTTTATGAATGAAAAAGATTGTGGTGATAATTTAGAGGCAGAATTGACTAAACTTAATGAGTGATTAGGCATGAGGATGAACAACAGTGGAAGAAACAAGCATAATAAATATCAGCATTAAGGAACCAACTGAGGAAGAGGACCCAGGAAAGGAAAATAATCAGAGACACAGAATGGAGAGAGAGAGATTAAAATTAGTCTTTATTTTATCCTGTTTTTAGTTCTAATTAGGTGAATACATATTGATCTCAGTTCTCCAAGAGCTTTTACATAGTGAAGGAGGCACTATTTTATTCATTTATGGATCTCCAACACCAAGCACAGTGCCTGACATTTAATATCCCTACAATAAATATTTGTTGAATGAAATAAAATTGAAATTAGAACTCCATTCCTTTTTATTTTGTTTGCTTATTTCTGGAGTGTGCAGCATGTCTTGTCACTGATATTTTAAGTTCATAGCAAAAAAAAATCATTTCAATGTGTCCTAGGCTTGATCCCCTTCCAACCCAACCCTCAGGACAATAGTTTTCATTATAACCTTCTGTCTTTGCCATTCTGGATGGAATTCTGTGCACAGAAGTTATATACATATATGGGTATATCTATGTAACAAATCGCAGCACAGGAGCCCCCTGGGCTCCCTCAGGCTCTGGTATGACATATTTGAGCCATATAAATTCAGCTTCTCCTCTGGCATCTGTTAGCCGACTCACTTGCAACTCCACCTCAGCAGTGGTCTCTCAGTCCTCTCAAAGCAGGGAAGGAGTACTGTGTGCTGAGAGACCATGGCAAAGAATCCTCCGGAGAACTGTGAGGACTGTCACATCCTAAATGTAAGTTGATTCATATTTTTTTTCCTTTTTGAGCAGAAGCATGGTTTGGTAGATTTATCGAATTGCAATGTGAACATTAGAAAGTGAAATCAAAGGAGACTGAATTATGGCTTGCTATTTTGAGGATTATTGTGTATTGTTCCATTCTCTCTGTTCTTTGCTTAGGCAGAAGCTTTTAAATCCAAGAAGATATGTAAATCACTTAAGATTTGCGGACTGGTGATCGGTATCTTGGCCCTAACTCTGATTGTCCTGTTTTGGGGGAGCAAGCACTTCTGGCCAGAAGCACCCAAGAAAGTAAGTAAAGTAAATGTATGTCACTATCCAGTGCTTCTGTACTGAGTTGATTAAAAATTAACCAGTGGTTGACGTGTAAATTACTCTGAAAATGAAAAAATCATTAAGTCCTTTTTGTGTTTATTTTCTGGTATGAAAAAGTGAATCAAGATTTTGCTCTCTTTTATTTTTCTAATAATTTTGTTAGGGGTAAAATTGTCTTCTGCATTTTAGTTAGTAATGATAAGATGTAGGTTTGCCCATTCTTTTATAATACTTTGGCTTTAAGGAGTTAAGTCTCCTCCTAGAAGCAAATTTTTTACTGTTAGGAAAAAATATTTTCCATCTTTCTTTCAATTATCTGGGCAGAAACTGATGGAAAAGTAATTATACCACCACATAAGGACAAACCACCAGAAATGGCAGCAAAGAATTTTCAGGGATTATGTTTCTGACTTAATGCATCTGTTGTGAGGACAGACAACAAGCTCCTTTTTTTATAAGAAGCAATTTGTATACCTGAGTTTGCATTTATTTATGATTAAAAAACTAGAGCTTTTCAGCTTCTCACAAGCCACAATCATCACTGCCCCACTGAGATAGTAATGCCAGAAAGTAGAAGCACGTAACACCAAGTCATTAATCATAGATATCTCAGAAAGCTTGCAATATTGGGGTCATTCAGTAAAGATTGTTTGACCATTGTACTTTGTATTAGTACACTTTAGTGTTTTTGTTATTTTGGGACTCACAAATGGGCCAATTTAGATGTGACCCCAATAAAACCAGAGTCCTTTCATGCTAGCAATTTCCATTTGAAGGATAATTAATAAATATACAAACTATAAGATATAAAGATGGTTCTCTGGTTTTGCCATCTTTTCTCTCTGTGTGTGGGTTATTGTTGTTGCTACTGCTGCTATTGCTGTGGTTAATTTGTTGTCATGAGATGATCACTTATATTTGGTAACAGATGTTAAGGAAGAAAAGGCACAGTTCCAGGAAGGAGAATGAGACAAGAAGAAAATGGGCTGGCATGGACCATTAGGAGCCAAAGGAGTGATAGGAGCAGAGAGGAAAGAATATGAGTAAATGGGGAAGGAGAGGCACAGGGGAAAATAGAAAATAAATTGTGGCTAAGTGTCCCCCCAAAAAAGAGAAAAGTAAAGCATAGCTACCTTCAGATTCTACACCTTTGCCTACCATTTATTCTCAAAAGATACCTTATCAAGTTTAAGTAGGAGGGAGGGCAAACCAGCCTACTTTATTTGTTTGCATTTTTATTTATACCTTGTTCCAGAAAAGATTTCAGGCATCACCCAGTGCCTATAGTTATTCTCTTCTCCTCCCCTCTCCACACACACACACACACACACACACACACACACACACACACACACACACACACACACACACACCACACATGCACACACTGCTTCTGAACTATTACTGCTTAGGTGACTTTCTAGAGAAGCCACCTGTGTTCAGACTAGCAGGATGCACAAAGCAATCACGATCAGGAAGGAAATAGCAAATGAATGAGAGTGCCAAACTGCATTCTGATATAATTTTGGTGCCACTTAACTAATTCTCAAGGTGACATGCTGCCCCATAAATTGAATCTTGGATCCTTTCAAAAAGTATACATGAGTTAGAGGATAAAAAACTTTTTTGTTCTCCATGGCTATAATGTACTTAACTGGATATAGTAGGAAACCAATCCCTTTGACCATCCATACATACCTGCCTAAATAGGGGGCTAGATGGCATTTCTTGTTTTATTGTAGCCTTTGGTACTGCAAATGCTATTCTTAAAGAATTTATGTGTTTTTCTAAACTTATAGTACTATTTGCCTCCGTGCAACTATAAATGACTAGTAGGGTTCCTGATCTCCTCTACTTCCCTATTACATCATCTTTGCTTCTCATTCCAGGTTTTTTCGTAATGAATGCTAAAGACAAATTCTGAAATTCTTAAACCAAATGTAAAACTTGCTCAGTATATACATATAAAAGGTAGGATATGCTACTGAACAAAGTTTAT